ACATACAGTATTTGTCTTTCATAGTCTGGCTTATCTCACTGAGAATTAAATCTGTATTCATCTACTTTGTATCAAATGACAGAGTTTCATTATTTTTCATGGCTGAATAGTATTTCCTTAATAAATATTATGGAAAAACAAATCAAGATAAGGAGACAACAGTAATGGAGTGAGTCTTCATGGCAAGAGGCATCCTCTGTAGAAACTCCAGTCTCTCTCTGAGAAGACAGAATTTCACCTGCATGGATGAGAACATTCCCCACAAATAGTTGGAGGGAGAACATTTTGAGGGTAGGAAACACTTAATAGTAAATCCCGAAGGAAGGAACAAGCTTGATTCATTGAAACATTTGTCTGGTACAAAGTGAAGAAGGTGAAACTAGCAGAAGAGGTAGCTGGAGAACTCAGGTGTCTGATCATAGGAATAGAAAGATCATGAAATGGATGCCTGGATGTTGTTCATAATATGATGGAAGCCACTGGAAGTTTCTGAGTAAAGGAATAATATGATCTGTTATTTGTGTGTATATGTGGTAATAAAAATATACTAATTTAACTTTTAAGTATCCAATTCAGTGGTATTAAGTATATCCATACCATTGTGCTACTGTCACTCCCTTCTGCTTCTGGAATTTCTTCATCTTCCCAAACTTAAACTCCATACCCATGAGACACTAACTCCCCAGTTCCATTTCCTTACCCCAAGCCCTTGGTAGCCACCATTTTACTTCCCTACTCTTTGTATTTCATTACACTAGGTACCTCAACCAGTTAGAATCATACTATATTTACCTTTTTTGTGTCTGGCTTATTTCATTCAATCTGTTTTCAAGGTTTGTCTGTCTTCTAGCACATACCAAACTTATATTCCTTTCATGGCTGTATAATATAGTGCTGCATATACACACTACATTTTCTTTCACTATTGGGTAAATTAAATCTATTATCTAAATAAATTTCATTAGTTTCTTCTTACTTTTTATTTATTTTTGAATTTTTTACTACCAAAAGGTGAGAGAGAGAGAAACCTCCCCAAATAACCCCCCATAAGTGTATAGTCATGCTATGTCCTTTTCCTCTGTTTCTCCTTCTCATCTGGATTTTGGGCACACATGCACTGATGCCCAGCATGTTTTTCAAGTCACCAGAGTCAGAATTGGAATCGAGGTCAACCAAACAGGATCTGACACCCTAAGCACAGCATCTAACCACTACAGTATAGGGGTAGTCTTCTTATTTTTTAAAAGAATGGCTCCTAGAGAAGGGAAAATTACATCTGTGGTTCACATTTGCAGCTTGCATTACATAAATGTCTCTTGAGCAAAACCTTTAGTCTTCATGCAGTTGTGCTGCAGCCTGGGAAAAAATACCTTAAGGACATTTTTAGTGTCATTATGAGAAAGGAAGGGAAGTGATTTGTGGCTAATCTCCAAGAAAAGAACTATGTCATCCCACCAGCTAAAAATGTTCCAGAAATAGCATTTTTGTATGGAAAGCAAATGACTTTATAGCCAAAGAAAGCATTTTTTATAGTGGCTTGTTCACCAAAGAGGATCCACTGAAATCAAATCAACAGCCCATTCATTACAGAGGGTGGAGGAGCCTACTGGGGAGCAGGAATCATTCACTCATTGTCAGCCTGGTGAAGATTAAAGTGAGTGTCAAGTAATCAGCAGAATGAAACACTGATATTTTCTGTAAAATGTTTAGTAACCTTTCTAAGCAAAACATCAAGCTATAATGGAAATATTTTGCTGAGAGGACTTCTTTAAAAAGCCACAGATCTGGGAACCAGCAGTTAGTGTAATGGCTATGTCACTGGACTCCCACGTAGTCGACCACGGTTCGCGTCTCGGACCCGGTGGCTTAAAACTCACGCCGGGCGCGTGTGCGTGCATGCCCAAGATCCCGAGAGGAGAATGGAGGAGAAGGGATTGCGGCGTGACCATCCCCCCTAGGGGGTGATTTCTCACTTTCTGTCTCTATGTCTCTCTGTCTGTCTGTCGAGCGCACGCGCCATACAGCAAAAAAACTCTCTCAAAAAAAAAAGCCACGAATCTGGTTATAAAAAAATTGTGAAAGCTGAACTAAAATGTACCAATGCCTTGGGAGGCATTTGATGTGCTGGGTGGTTTCCTTACTGGTCCTCAAGTTTGTGTTCAGATTTGCACAGAAAGACAAATTGCAGACATTGAGGGTTTTCAAGCTGGAATGTGACTGGAAAATGCAACAGCCTCCAAATACACTAGTTAGAACTGGTATATACTCTTGGGGCAACATCTTGCACATTCAAAAGGGATTCCATTTCCTTGTTGCAAAATCAATAGGGTTGTGTCTACACTGTGGTTACCAGCAGAAATGAACGTATGTGATGAGCCGTGGCCAGGAGGTGGTGTAGTGGTTAAGGTGCTGAACTCCTATGTGGCCAACAATAGTTTGAGTTCCAGACCTAGAGGCTTGAAATGCATGCTGAGTATGTGTTTATGTGTGTGTGTGAGCCCAAAATTCCAACAGGAGGATGGAGGAGAAGGGATTATGGTGTGGCCATCCCACTTGAGGATTCCAGCAGGAGGATAGATGAGAAGGGATTATGGTGTGGCCATCCCCCCAGGGGGGTGATTTCTTGCTTTCTGTCTCTCTCTCTCTCTGTCCATCTGGTGAGCGCACGTGCCCTATAGCAAAAACCTCTTCAAAAAAAAAAAAAAAAAAGAAAGAAAAGAAAATTCTCACTGGCCCTTTAACCTAATAGTTAAAGGACCTGGCTCTCACTTGGCTAACTGTGGCTCAAATCCCAATCTCAGTAGCTTGAAAACCATGGCAGGAACTCTTATGCATGTTCCAAATCCCCATGGAGCAGAGAAATGGAGAAGGGATTGCAGTGTGACCATGCCTCTATGGGGAATGCTTGCTCCCTGCTCCTCTCTCCATATTTCTCTGATAAGTTTACATGTGCCTTGACAATTAAAAAACAAAAATTCTCTATGGTTAAAAATGACTTAGATTGGAGCCAGTAGGTGGCATGGTGGTTAAGGGTTGAACTCCCACGTGGCTGACTGCAGTTTGAGTCCCATACCTGGTAGCTTGCTTTCTCACTTTTCCTCTCCATGTCTCTCTCTAATGACTATAGCAAGTTAAAATAAGAATAGTAATCATAATAAAAAAAATTATTTAGAAACTACAGGACCTGCAGGAGAGTAATGATACATGGTTGTGTAACTTGGCTGTGATCAGGTGACATCTCATGCCATGGAAGGCTAGGACGTAATTTTCTGAATTCAAGCCAAGCTGATGACTAAATTGTGTGCTAGATGTCTGCCTGAGAGCATTCGTGTTCCAGTGTAAGTTACCTTAACCATCTGGATGTCCCAGACTCCTGGTACAAACTTTCCTTAAGAAAAGAGTTATACCCATTTGTATTCAGAGGCATTACTCCTTGCAGTAACTGGAGTTAAAGGACAGGAATTGCTGCTGAAAGACAGAAACTACTCATCCTGCCAGCCCTCCTGGTGGCAGCACCGATGAACATGTTTATTCCAGAACCTGTCACGCCAGGTGCCAAAGGCCAAGAGGGAGAATGCATGTAGCATCTCTGGTGTGCAAGGCAGCAGCACACTCCCCACTGGGCCCTGGAATCACACGGGCAGTGCCGGCTCACCAGCAAGCCAGACAGAGGGAGAGGAGGCATGTGGGGAGGGGGCACAGTGCCATGAAGATGACGTTTATACCTTTTCTTTCATAAAGAACGAGTTCTCAGCTTTGCAGAGCCTGTACACAGTAGACATCTGGCCCTCCAGGAACATTTCCTAAGTCTTCTTATTAGGAGGCCATACTTCACTGTGACACGGAATGTGTCTGCTACCCCTCCACCCCTGTGAAAAGACAGCTCCCTGAGCAAAGTGCTAGCCATGCTTGTTCATCAAAATGTGAGCCTTTTCCCATGGCTTCTCTTAGTTTGTGTACATGGATTAGGGATGAAGCCCTTAAGTTACATTTGTAAATCTCTAAACCAGAGAACTAGCATTCAGATTGCACCGATGAGAGAAGCAAAGACTACAACATGTGAGACTCTGGGACCCACAGTAACATACTCCTCAACTGTCAAAAGACAAATTTACAACGTGGAGGATGGGGATGGGACAGGAGCCGGATTTGGTTTTTAAATGGAGCAAGGATGTAAAACCAGAAGATTGCAGTTTCAAACAGGAAAAGTGAGGAGAAGTTGGAATTTTGAGGTTCTCTTTCAGGCTTCTAAAGTAAAACCCTGCTCAAGAGAGCAGATGTCTAGTACTTGGGGAAGCACGAGGTTGGAGAGTCGACTTTTGCTTCCTGTCTACATTTCCTGGAGCTCAGAGGAAGAACAACAGTGGAACTCTGCCAAGGAGGAGGGAGGAGGGGGAAGGAGAGGCTCTTTCGCTAAGATCTATCATCTTTGACCCTAAAGCAGTGCCCTTACTTCTCAAAAGACAGTGGTATATTCTTTATCCCATTTCATGTAAATTTTGCTCATTTTCCTCTGGATTTGTGAATAGTTGGAGCTTCTAAAAATTTTTAAATGGGGGAAAAGGATGTGTGGGCAAAAGTGGAAATTTGTCTAAACTTGCTGATCCCTGCAAATTCTATATAATTTACTTAGGACAAAACAAGATAGCCCTACATCAACTCTATGCCCAAGGCTTCACATCCACAGAAATCTAAATGTAATAAACATGCATAGAAAGAAAACTAATGTCACTTCTTTCATCAAGGCAACAGCCTGCCATTAGCATACTTAGCACTAACAAGACTGGGGTTCATTTCCTTTTCCCCCCTTGCTTCCTTCCCCTTTCTTCCTTTTTCTCTTTTCAACTGTTTATCTATTCTACAAGCATTCACTGGACACCTCACACCCTTTACATCAGCATTGCCAGCGGATCTTGTCCAAAGAGGCACATATTTGCATTTTATTTTCAACTCCAAAAATCTGCCCAAAGTTGGGCAAAGTTGGGCTGAAGACACGGGGTCCCCGCTCCTCGCTTGGGTGTCCCAGCACCTGCCAGCTGTGCGTCCCCGGAATTGAGGACATCGTGTTTTCAATTTCCTTCAATAAAGCCATGAATCTGGCAATTTGTTGGCCCGCTTCAGCTAAACAGAAAGGACAATTTGAGAAAGATCATAGTTCAGGCCCAGTCAGACGGAAACGATTGAAAACAGAGAGCTGGCCGCCGCGCTCCCCCAATGCAGCTTGCTGTCGCAGTTTGACTGACAAACTGACTTTTTTGAGGTGCTCATGCCCATTTCAGTCAGAGTTTATTGAAGGTGATTTTGATCTTCTCCATGAGGCCACAGCAGTGGCCATGCCATCTGTCACCTTGATTGCATCGTGGATTCTCTGGAGAGAGCGCCATGGCTCCTGATCATTTACAGATTGTGCGGCTCTCCGCTCCATAAGGACCACATGCGCAGAGCCAGATGGTGAACATACACGCTTATTATAAGTCTTTATCTCCGTGCAGGAAGGAGAGGAACCATTAGGTCTCCCTCAGGAGCTCTGCTCCTCTCTACCATCACGCTGCTCCTCGGCAAATACAGTCTTCTTCAGCTGTCATCAGCCTACCTCTGAAAATTAAAAAAATAAACAATAATTCCATCAGCCGAGGCCGGGAAACCCAGACAGTGCAGCAAAGCAATCCCCTGGCCTTGCCTTCCTTTCTTTTCTCTAACCCCCGACTTGCCTGACTGTCAGCGCTAGGTACAGACAAGTTTGTCTGCAAATGCATCATTAATGTGCTGATTTTTTAAGAGATCAAGAGGCTCCTGCTGCTCAGAAATAAAGCAACATGATCCTATTTTTGTTATTGGGATTATGGCTTCCATTGTATTGGCCTCATTCTTTTCCATTTAAGGATTTTCAGTTCATGGGACAAATTTTTAAATTGTGCATTGTTTTTCTGAAATAATCCCAGACCACCTGTGTATTAAAGCATAAGGGTCCAGGGAGGGATTTAGATCCTGGTGACAAGAATGGAAAATCCCAAGTACAGTGCAACTCTGAAAAATTCCTTTTAGTAAACTCTGCAGGG